GTAGCTGCTATATACCACGTGACAATAGTGTTTCCCTGCCCATTACACAACTTTTGTCAATGGTTAATTGGTTGCATGGAAGTGTGTACTTCGTATGAGTTTTTCTAGGCGGTAGCGCACGGTTGCCATCTGTATATCGAAATAATAATTTATAAACCAAAATGAATCACAATTTGTGACGGTAGATGGCGCTATACCCGCTTTTATGTTTCTTAGCGATGGCGTTCGAAATAAATAGGTTATGCTGCGTTCCGACATGTTTTGTAAAACTTTACTCTAATTATATAGACGTTTTATCGGCAAGGTGGAGAGGAAATACCAATTTTGCATTAAAGATATTGTCAATGAAATCTTGTAAAACGAGCCAGACGAGTGTGACACCACAGACTGTTATCTGCGTGTCTATATAGTATGCTATATAATTGCCAAAACCTACCTAATTTGCATCAAAAAATTTAAATATCAAAAACCCTAGCCCTTATTCATTCACATACTAAAAATGAGCAAAATCCGTTGAACCTGAACTGACTAATGGCAATTCCCATTTTTGCCAAAAAATTGTTGTGGCTCGAAAGTACGTCGACTGGCGTGCTCCAAAATAGGACGTTCAAACCTCTCACATAGCAGTAACAACTATACCCAATTTCAAACATGTGGGTCAAACGGTTCTTGAGTTATCGTTGACCGTAGACAAATATTGACGGAAGGACGGACGGACGTACGACGGACGACGACCCAAGGCAATAGCTCAGCTTGACGATGTCAAGGTGAGCTAAAAAATGGAAAAAAAATAAAATAAACTAATAACCGATAAAACTGATAATAAGCCGGATACAGTTCACGTTAGTTGATTATCCACGTAGGCTGGAATATCAAAGTTTCATCATACATTATATAAAAGCCAATTGTTGTGTATCGTGTTTGTGTGTATCTATGGTTTCGTCGACTCAAGATTGACGCAGGAGCGCTGCGCTACCTGCACCCCAACCTACAACTGTTCCTCGCCAGAGGTTTTCTCCTGTTATTAAACGTAGTCTGCTAAATAATTCACGCAGTGATTTCTCTTCGTGAGAGACAGGCATCTTTCTCCCAAATTATTGATCGAAATCGAAAACTGGGAGCATACCGATTCGTTTAGTAATGAAAAGTTTGAACAAACTCGAGTGAAGTGCGTTGAGTAAGAGAACACGTTAATGAGGCCGGCATGTGACAGCCGCGGGGAAAACTATTAATGAATTATTCGTAAACCATAAAGTCGGGTTTCTGCCTCGCGCCACGAGACGTGCAACGTCGTTACATTCAACGAACCACTTCCGCGGTCTTAATTAATGAACGTATATTGAGAGAAGGTTATCATATCTACAATCAGTCACAATGATGAAATGAAATGGTACGGAACGTAATTGAACCTGCACCCGCTAGCGGCTTAACTAACTCACGCTCCGCTACTTACATGTGATCAGGAGTTAATAAAGACAAAATAATGTCTTTATTAACTATCTTGTTGTCTTGTCTAACTGTTGTTGTTGTTGTTGTTGTTTGTTGTTGTTTATTATGCTGGTTATTATGTTGTTTGTTGTTGTTGTTTAATGTTGTTGTTGTAACTGTCTTGTTTAACTGTTTGTTTGTCTTTATTAACTCCTGATGTGATCAAGAGTCAATAATAGAAAATGTTCTATTATGGACTCCTGACGTGATCCGTTTGACATCCGACGTCTGCCCTCTCGGTATGTGCTTCAAAACCTCAAGTCAACCCTGTGTCAGCGGACACTATTAGAACGGACACATACAATAAGGGACACTACGCGCACAGGCACTTGGAACGTCTCAATAAAACAGAAAATTATGGTCAATAAACACGAAATGTATTTACTACCAAAGTCTTAATGTTTCTCTACTCTCTTTCGCCTATTATTGCCGATAACTTCTTGTAAATGCCGTTCAAATGCTCCCCTGCAACACACAAGTACACCGCACGCACGCCGCTGTGCACAAACAGTTATATATCTATATAATATTATTATAGAGTTATAGTTCTCTATATTCTAGTTGTTTGTGCACAGCGGCGTGCGTGCGGTGTACTTGTGTGTTGCAGGGGAGCATTTGAACGGCATTTACAAGAAGTTATCGGCAATAATAGGCGAAAGAGAGTAGAGAAACATTAAGACTTTGGTAGTAAACTAAGTAAATACATTTCGTGTGTATTTACCATATTTTTTTTTATTGAGACGTTCCAAGTGCCTGTGACTACGCGCTTCCCGTGATGGCCAGTTATACGGTGAAGTCGCCATTATAGAACCGACACTTGTCTATAACGGTCAATGTGAGTAGCAGTTGCAGAGTGAACCCACCGTTGTCGAACCGGCACCTGTTTATAAAGGCCACTGCTGGCGTGGTTTCGCCTGAGCGATCATTCCACACTAATCTCTGCGTGATTTAGCGAGCAGCTCGATGTGTTTCCGCAGGCGGGGGTTCGCTCCGTGGAGCACACGGCGATGACGGCGGAGGAAGGAAGCGGCATCGTCACTGCAGTGTTCACCGACCCGCACGAAGCCGTGAGTACACAACACTTGCCTCGTAGACCCAACACGCTGGGTTAAAAGGCGGGGGTCAGGGGGTACCCTTAATATTCCTACCTCACATTTTAATCGTAAGTAATGCCCCTACCCGAGCCACCGGCACTTGGAACGTTTCAATAATAAAATATGGTAAATAAACACTAAAGGTATTTGCTAATATAGTCTCGATGTGTTATGTTCTTATCTCTATCGACTAATAATTCCACGTAAATACGGTTCAAGTGCTCTTTCGCAACACGCAATCTCACCGCACATATACTCTATATTCCTGTTGTTTGTGCACAGCGGCGTGTGTACGGTGTAATTGTGTGCTACAGAGAAACATTTGAACGGTATTTACAGGACATTATTACTAATAATAAGCGAAAGCAAATAGAGAAACATCAAGACTTTTGCAGTAAATACATTTCGTGCTTGCTCCAAGTGCCTGTGACCCGAGCGGGAATGAATGGTAATAGTGAGGTACGCCCAGGTTCGGAAATCAAAACACTCCCGCCCCAATTGCACCTGACGCGTTGTTTTATTACGGGCGCATCTCTCGCGGCCCGACGCTCGTGTGCTGGACACGCGGTAAAACCGTAAAAACCACGCCCATATACCGTACACGGCTGTTTACACGCAGTTTTGCCAGCACCGTTCAGTTGGCAGACATTCGGACGATTCGTGGCGATTCATTATTTATCATATAATCAGGAGTAGATAATAGGAAATTCCTGATATAATCAGACGGCGTTACTGGAACACGCACGCGAAATTATTACTTGGTCGGGACTGATCGCCTGTTTATGGGCATGTAAAAGAGCAGGCCAACTTACCCGCGAAAACACTTGTGCTAAAAAGTACAGACGATGCCACTGAAATATTCAGCGCTACTACAGAGCGTTTTGCCCCGCCAGAACTCGCCATAGGTTAGTTACACAGTAGTGTTGCCGCGGCACCAGCCCAAATAAATTTTTCAGCCGTATAAATTATTGATTGGTCTATGCGCTAATGCGATAATGCGCGTGCAGGTGTATACGGTATGGCTATACAGTCAACACATTACTAGCAGTGGGCGTGCAGGTATGTGCTGGTCGTGGCAAAACACATTAGCGCTTCTACAGCGGGTGGATGGTCCCCGTTTTTACACCTGTCCTTGTTATCTCTCCTTCGCAAACGAACATTGCAATTTACATGAAGCCAGCCGTACTTTGCAATGCATTTGCCGCGGCGAGAAAACAGCAAACGCGCCACCTGGACAAATGCAGGCGCGCACAAGGAAGAGGCTCTCTATTTGGGCGTTAAATTAATTACACGTTACAGGTTTTCTCATCACATATACTGTATACGCCATATTTTTCGCGTACAGATATTTTCGCGAATTCAGACCTGACGGACAATTTCGCGAGTGGTTAACTTCGCGGTCGGTGATTTCCCGAATCAGTGAAGAACATCGTGTTGTTATTTTTGCGTGTTGTTATTTTCGCGATCGGGGACGCATTCACGAAAATTCACCACCGCGAAATATACAGCGTATACAGTAGTCTGTTTGCGCGATGATGACGTATTCGAATGACGTGCGGTGAGATGGTGAGTCTGGGTGAATTAAAAACATAGATAAGTGACATTGCATCAAAAGTGTGACGTCACTGTCTGATATATGGGAGACGCCGGGCTTGGGAAGATTAGAGCATCAGGAGGAATGCAACCAAATGCAGGTCGCCGTGCTAGACCTGATGGAGCGAGTCCGCAATGAGATGAAAGTCTTAGACAGTGACTTCTCTTGCACGCCCATTCTGATAGGCAGCACGGCCAACCGCACAAAAGCTGGTCTGCCGGACGAATACGACTTCCTATTCGAAATCGATAGTTATGGAAAAAATTTAATTATTGAAAACACAAAATCTAATAGAGCTGGCTTTGTAACAATTCGCGAGGAAAACTCAAACCAGCATATTTCGGTAAATCTAAAGGAAAAATTTGTTAACATATTATGCCGGGCTGTATCGAATGTCATGAAAAACGGAGAACATTCATTCAAAACACAAAAGTCAAATATTTTGGCATGGAATAAAGTTTGCACACAATTTAATTGGAAATTTGTTGGCGGCGGAAATTTTAGATACCTACCTATATCGGTAGATTGCACGCCGGGAGTACGAATCTCGGGCAAGCCAGCTGGCGCAACAAACTTTCCTGATGACCACTACCACGTGGTACCCAAGCCTGGCGTGGACTCAGATAATACGTGCTGGTCCGTCTGTACGGCAGTAGCGGAAAGCAATATGATCAGAAATTTCCATCCAGTTTATCGCCAGGCTCTAATCACAGCAAAGGCTTTTCTTGATCCTCAAGTACATGGTTTTGATGATAAGTGTGGAAACATATTGATTAAGAATGAGTTGCTTACAAAGAATGACGTTACATATTTACGTTCACGTAACATAGACGTTATTCAGCTGTATATCGCCACTCGCTTTAAGCCTAGGAAACTGATCGACTCCTACCTACTAAAACTTGCGCTGCTTCATGTCGCATCACTCAACCCAGCGGATCCGTTGCCGTTCCCAGTAATCGTGCGTAAAATATTTAAGTACGTACAATCGTGTACAAATAAGTGCAACATGCCGCATCCTTATATTGATAATTTCAATGTTTTGGCCGAGGACTGCGGTAAAACAATCTCATACGTGCCGGTCGCGTATTTGCGTGAGCGGCACGTGGATGAGTTACTGGGACGTCTTGATAGCGGTCTGCTGGTGAGCGAGAGCGGACTTATAAAGCTCAGCGCTGAGGAGCTGTGCGAGAAGATGAAGGAGTCGTTCAGGAAAGAGGATCTTTCAGTATCAATATATGAAGACACGTTTATTAGAGCTTGGAACCTACTGTCTGACACCTGCGATAAGATAACCAGTTAGAAATT